TTCTATTTCAAATGTATCTAGCGATAATTCTCTTATACTCACGTTGTGTAGCTGCTGTGGTTTGGAATTAAAAATAAAAAAGAACATTAACATTTTTCGGAGGGAGGGGGCGAAATGTTTCCAGAACGCTTGAAAACAGAATTTACTGCGAATTGTCTCAACATTTTTGTACCTCATTGTACATCCAAGAAAATACTGTATTACATTTTATTGACGTAAAACTCGCACAATTTGTCGGGTATTCCCTCCCGGAGATACGTTTAATGAGCGAAACCGTATTTACGACTACTTTAACACTTATTTTCACGCCAGCATTCGCCATCTCTATGTGGCCGGGACCGCGCGAAAAGGCAGTGACGTCATTATTCTAGATAATTCCTTCTATTTAGCTCTCTCCAGCAGAATGCTTGAAATACTAAATTACGTCTACTCTGCAATGGTAGCGGTTAGCAAGAGAGGTTATTCCATTTTTTTTCCAGAAAAAGGCCATCGAACACAGCCTTTGATAGTTTGACCGACAGTCATTGATATCATCATTTCAAGAATAAGCTTAACTTTCAGTGGCTTAAAGAGAATTACTTAAACAGATTTACTTACAACGATCTTTGTCAGTTTAAACTCCAAAACAAGAAATTTCCGATATTTCTTGTAGAGCCGCTTGCGGTTTTAGGCGGTTGCGTGAAATCCAAAGCACTCGCCAAGAGGGGTCTTCCGTACACCATAATAATTATTTCCACTGAAGCCAAGTCTTGGCAACCTGTTTTCTTCGCATGCATGCTAACTTTGTGAAAACATGAATGTGTTTGTCTTATGTGGTATAGCTTTTCTAGAACTATCCTTTGTGGCTATGGGGTATTCCACCGGACAATTTAATTTAGTTACTCTGTAACTGATTCGGAGCTCTCAACATCCGCTTTTGAATAATATCTCTCTTACCTCGATAAGTGAACGCTTTATCGATGACATATCAGAAACGTGTATGAGTTCCTAGCGCTCAATGGCTCTCAATTGTTTGTTAATTTACTCGTTCAAAATCTGTGGTATATGTTTATTTTAGTAAAAGGACAGACTCCCTTGTTTTACATGCATAGCGTAGTTCTCTGACATTCGAAGGAAGGAAGTCGGAACATGGGCTGATCATAATTACAATCAGTTCTTAAAAGGTTAGGAATTGATGAGGAAGTGCAAAGCTCTGTAAGAAAGTAACCCCGAAATTGAACTGAAGAGAAGTTTTAGATTATTTTTTACGTGTTGTAGCTTTTTTCTCAAAAAAGTAAATAAATTGCAAAGAGTTGGACCCATTTATGGAACATTTGTTCCGCTCTTGGTGTGTATATAAGCAGCTTGCACTGATGAACTCTTTCAATGAATTTTCAATTGCTTGTTTACACTTATTAACCATGGAAAATCAAGACAAGAAACAGAAGCTCTTCCTGCAGTCTCCGGTACTGCTCTTGATATGTTGTAGTATGCTTGTTGTAAGCGTTATAGCCGTCTCATCTCTTGGATTAAGTATCTTGTCTTTCAAGGAGATAACTTGACGTAGCGAAACACACTCTGATGAAGCGAGAAAGGTTAGTGGAACATTCAATACCTGGTTTATTTAGTGCCATTTTAAGTGAAGACTTTTCCAAAACATAAACGATGAATAAGGGGTGATCGCCATTGTATGAAGTCTTCGCTTATAGCAAAATTCTCGTTTTCCCTGAAGCCTTCAAGTTCGTAACGTGGTGAATATGGCTGAATTATCTAAATCTGACACCAATACTTGACCAAAATCTACGTCACTGTGTGCCGCTGACATTGTGTTTTGTGGGTGTGGCTTGAAATGTTTTTTTTTTTTTTAACCCCTATGAGGTACCAATTCTAAAACAATACATTAACTGACATTGACATTTTTGGGCTCAATACCCTAAAACGGTACAGCGAAAGCTCCTGCTGTGACCCTTTTTAGGCTGAACACCCTATAAATAGCGTGACAGAATCGTGTACTTACCGCAATCTCATCAACAATAGTGCGTTGTCCTTTAACTTTTTTGAAAGGTCAAGGACAACGCACAGGCTATTGTTTAAAAACCTGCAATTTGACCATTCCTGAAGCCGTAGAGGTACCAAACCCGCTTTTTTAACCCCTAAAAGGTACAAAAAGCACCGTCGTAATTATTATGTGGGAGTCCCTCTTCCATTACCGAAGTGTACCCATAGTAATAGCAGGCATACATAACGCTTCTTCTTTACAATCTTCTTTATCCAAAATTAATTTCTCCTCCTTGACCATTTGATATCTGATCTCGAAGAATCTGTTTTCTTAGCTTACTAGTTTTTTTTCTCCTAGGGAAGTGAAATCATCCATCTTGTTGGCGGGGGAAAAGCTATATTCACAAAAAAAAAATGACGTTGTAGTCGATGGATGGATTTTGAACGATAAAACTGGCAATATCTCCTTTCACCAAGGATCAAAAATTCTAGTGCAGAGGTCCGGCTACTACTACGCATACAGCCAAATGTATTACGATGGTGTTGACAGCGCACGCAGGGATATCATTGGCCGCACTACCTACCTACATGATACTATGATCATGAAAAGTTGGGGCAACTGGGGAAATACCACTTACCATGGAGGAGTTTTCCACCTTGAGAAATTCGATATTTTGACAGTTAAAATTCCAAAGAATGGCACGGCAGTCAAGTTGGATGGAAAGGGTACCTTTTTCGGAGCGTTTCTACTCCAGGCTGATAAGATTTAAGTCTCTCGGACGAAAAAGAGGTAATTTACATATTACAACAACTTCGATGATTCGGACAGGAATAAGGAAGCCCAATCTAATGTTCCAAAATGGCCTTACGGAATTAGGCGTCAACTCCTAGTTCTTTAAAATATCATTGTAATATCTATTTGCACTGTATACGATTAATGATGATAGTTAAACACGTCTGACATGATTTGTAAAGTAATTTGTTTGTCGTGTCAGAATTTAAGCATGTAAATGTAAATCGATACAGCGTTTGAATAAAGTTTATATTCTGCCTTTTGGAGCTTTTCGTTGCGTGGTCTTCTGCACGCAAACGTTTTTTAAAGTAAATGTTTCAAGGGTTAACCACTGTAAAACGCGGGCCCAAGTTTTTCCTAGGCATGTGACCTTGTGTTAAAACTTTCCGAGGACTTTTTGGAACTGTCGAACCAGACGCTCTATTCCGTCAAGTACTCCTTATAACGGCCTATATATACGAGGAAGCTGCGTCCGAAAGGGGTACCTATTTCAACCTTCTGGTATATATAAAAGGGTAGGGATTTCACAAATTGAGGTTTATGAAAAAGTAGGGAAATCTTTCATTTAGGTATCTAAAAGGGCTTTTAGTTAAAATATTTCGAACAGACGCAACTTATAGTTGTATCATTTGATATATTATGCACTACATGAAATGTGAGGAAGATTTCCTTTTTTGCGATCTATTCATACTATGGGTCGGTTATGAAAGCAGGGTACCTTTATGTTCTATCAAACTGGTATACAGAAGGGCAAGGGGTTAGACCTCAGGGCGGAGCCTCCCCGATAAAACTTTGTAGAGTCCTCTGGGCTCTGTTTGGTGATGAAATAAAAGAGATGAGCAGACATTTTCTTGCTTCTAAGGCATTTCATCATGTACGTTACCATACATCGCGTGACAACCTTTACTTGCGTGATAAACATCACTGCGACCTCTTGGAAACCATAGTATTAAAATACAAGAAATTGCAGTCTCTTAGCTTTTCTAAGAACTGACAGTCCGTACAAAGAGTGCAGTAAACATTTGGGAATGGTAACGAGAGCTTTTTAAAACTAGGACAATGAGCCATTGAGTACATCCAAGTCACGTGATCCCGTTCACTTTCCTAGAAAAAAAAATCTTGGACGCTTGACATTTATCCTATAGCGACAAGATGGTGTTTTTAGGAAGTCTGTAATACCTTAGAAGCAAGAAACATGCATAAACCTCAAGCAAGGGTTATCATTTTGCCCTGGTGGATGTTCGTTGTGTTTGCTGCGACACTGGCGACGTTATTCCCGGCATTCTTGTATTGTGTCCGCGAGATTGCCGTCTTAAAATCGCGGGTCGATGCACAACAGCTGACAATTGAAACTCTAGAAACCGTCACAGCGCAGATTCGACTTCGAACTGTGGGCGACGAAGGAACGAGCGACAAAACAAACGAGGTGTTGCAGAGGCTTTTAAAACTGGAGGTTTGACCTTTTTTCGCTGTCTGCTTTAGATAAAATGATCATTTCGAACGACCTAAGGGTCTTTATGTAGCGGTGGTTTGGCATTACACGAGTAATACACATGAACAAAGCTTGCCAAGCGCAAGTTTTTCTGTGACCTTCATTGGGTTTAGACAAGGTTTTAAACGTTGCTGGACTTCCTTATAAACTAATCTAGACACTGTCCAGACGGTGATCCTCTAGAAAAGCGCGATAGATATTCATGTGAATGAAATTAGGACTATTTCCGCGTTGTTAACTGTTTGTTTGTGTTGTAGGACGAAGGAGAGTTGCCGGTCCGGATAAAGCGGGAGGCCAGTAACTGTCGTTGCAGGCGAGGTATATAAAACCATTTTGGTGTTTATCGTTCTACATGTATCTCTACAGCTAAAGAAGTCGATTAGCCAGTAACATGCATCAGAATTAACGGCTGGGGTGTGAGGTGAGGGTATGTAAGGGATGCGGTAATGCTGAAAATTACGTCAGTGCCGAAGACATCTCTATTCTGATCTGAGCTGCCCCCATCCATCTCCGTCTTTTCCCCTCCCCCTCTTCGCAGGGAACTTTTATTCTCGTNTTTTTCCGTGGCATTGGGTGATGAGACAAAAAGATGTTTGCATTGCTATATAGGAGCTCGCTGTGTGTGTCTTCAG